CTAGTGACACAGCATGCTAGTGACACAGCATGCTTGTGGTACAGCATGCTAGTGACACAGCATGCTTGTGGTACAGCATGCTAGTGACACAGCATGCTTGTGGTACAGCATGCTAGTGACACAGCATGCTTGTGGTACAGCATGCTAGTGACACAGCATGCTTGTGGTACAGCATGCTAGTGACACAGCATGCTAGTGACACAGCATGCTAGTGACACAGCATGCTAATGGCTTTCTTTTGTGCCTAACAAGACTTTGTTAATATAAACTACATTTTGTATATTACAGAAACAAATGCAGTTTGTTTACTGTGGTATACAAGGTCAGAACGTTGATAATATTTAAGTGGCTGGGCGGAGCGGAACGCATGGAACGGGGCAGTAGGCGGAGCGGAACGCATGGAACGGGGCAGTAGGCGGAGCGGAACGCATGGAACGGGGCAGTATACACCTCTGGTGTAGCAACATGTATTCGAGAGAGAAACCATGAACACACCCTGTAGAACATTCGGGTCTCACAACTGAAGGAACCACGGTTCGATTCCTAGGCAAATGGTACGTATGGGGCAAAGTCTCCCCTTACACCTGTTGTCCTAGTTCACCTAGCAGTAAATAGGTACCTGTTGCGACATGGCCTGGGGAAAAAAAAGGAAATTTTTGTAGAGTATTCTACGATATTTTGTATTGTTTTTTTAGCCAATTCTACGACATCCTGTATTTTCCAAAAGGTTTTTGAATAATTTAAGTGTATCAGTTCATCGTGATGAGGGAGTGAGTAACAGAGAGGGAGAGGGAGGGAGGGGGTTGTGTGCACCCTGACCTGCCCTCCCTCACACGGTGTATATACTGCCGACACATGTATTGGAGGAATTCCTGGGGAGCGAAACGTGACCTAATCCAAACTTTCCCAGGGTAGTACGTTTTGTCCCTGGGTTGGTGGTGGGACATGATAACACTGGCTGACAACACAGGTCTCACTGGTGGTGGGACATCATAACACTGGCTGACAACACAGGTCTCACTGGTGGTGGGACATCATAACACTGGCTGACAACACAGGTCTCACTGGTGGTGGGACATCATAACACTGGCTGACAACACAAGTCTCACTGGTGGTGGGACAAAGATACACTGGCTGACAACACAGGTCTCACTGGTGGGGGACACATCATAACACTGGCTGACAACAAGGTCTCATGGTGGTGGGACATCATTAAAACTGGCTGACAACACAGGTCTCACTGGTGGTGGACATCATAAAAATGGCTGACAACACAAGTCTCACTGGTGGTGGGACATGATAACACTGGCTGACAACACAGGTCTCACTGGTGGTGGGACATCATAACACTGGCTGACAACACAGGTCTCACTGGTGGTGGGACATCATAACACTGGCTGACAACACAGGTCTCACTGGTGGTGGGACATCATAACACTGGCTGACAACACAGGTCTCACTGGTGGTGGGACATGATAACACTGGCTGACAACACAAGTCTCACTGGTGGTGGGACATGATAACAAATGGCTGACAACACAGGTCTCACTGGTGGTGGGACATCATAACACTGGCTGACAACACAGGTCTCACTGGTGGTGGGACATCATAACACTGGCTGACAACACAGGTCTCACTGGTGGTGGGACATCATAACACTGGCTGACAACACAGGTCTCACTGGTGGTGGGACATCATAACACTGGCTGACAACACAGGTCACACTGGTGGTGGGTCATCATAACACTGGCTGACAACACAAGTCTCACTGGTGGTGGGTCATCATAACACTGGCTGACAACACAAGTCTCACTGGTGGTGGGACATGATAACACTGGCTGACAACACAGGTCTCACTGGTGGTGGGACATCATAACACTGGCTGACAACACAAGTCTCACTGGTGGTGGGTCATCATAACACTGGCTGACAACACAAGTCTCACCTGCAGTAACCAAGACTAAACACATGATGTACGATTGTATTGTGACGACGTCTCGCTCTGGGACAGGACCTTATCGAAATGTGTCGTCACAGCAAGAGGATGACGTGCAGGGTGTCTCTAACGACAAGGATGGGCTGTCGTGGTCTCGTGTTGTGCTTCAGGGGCGAAATTCATGCTATTTTATGATGATTTACACTAAACACTCGCATGTTTGTGCTGTGTTGCCTTGTGTCATGATGGCACTACCCTCCCGCACCCACACCCACACCCCACAGCCACACCCACAGCCACACCCACACCCACCCCCCCACACCCACACCCACCCCCCCACAGCCACACCCACACCCACACCCACACCCACACCCCACAGCCACACCCACACCCACAACCCACACCCACACCCACAGCCACACCCACACCCACACCCAACCCCCCCACCCACACCCACCCCACACCCAACCCACACCCCACCCCTACAGCCACACCCACAGCCACAGCCACACCCACACCCACACCCACACCCACACCCACACCCCCACCCCTACAGCCACACACAGCCCACCCCACCCACACCCCACCCACACCCACACCCACACCACACCCCACCCCTACAGCCCACACCCACAGCCACACCCACACCCCCCCACACCCACACCCACACCCCCACCCACACCCACAACCCACCCCAAACCCCACCCCTACAGCCACACCCACACCCACACCCACACCCACACCCCACCCCTACAGCCACACCCACACCCACACCCACACCCACACCCACACCCACACCCAACCCCCACAGCCACACCCAACCACACCCACCACCCCACACCCATGCCCCCACCCCATACCCACAAACCCCCACCCAACACCCACATCTAACATCCCACACACCACACCACACCCACACCCCACACCACACCTCACACCCAACCCCCACACCTCACAGCCACACCACACCCCACACCAACAGCCACAGCCACACCCCACATCCACAAACCCCCAGCCACACCACATCCACACCCCACATCCACAGCCACATCACAGCCACACCCACACCCACTCCCACAGCCCACAGCCACGCTCCACCCCCACAGCCACACACATAGCCACATCACAGTCACACCCACAGCCACGCCCCCCCCCACATCACCACTCACAGCCACACCCACAGCCACCCCCACAGCCACACCCACAGCCACGCCCCACACCCACACCACACACCCATCTCCACAGCCACACTCCACAGCCACACCCATAGCCACGCCCCACAGCCACAGCCCCGCCCACACCCACAGCCACACCCACAGGCACGCCCCACATCCACAGCCACGCCCCACACTCACAGCCACACCCCACAGCCACACCCACAGTCACACACCCACAGTCACACCCCACAGCCACACCCACAGCCACGCCCCATACCCACAGCCACAACAACACCCCACAGCCACACCTACAGCCACGCTCCATACCCACAGCCACACTCACAGTCACGCTCCACAGTCATGCTCACACAATGGCAAAAACATGATCATACCCACAGTCCTTGCACACACACACATACACACACACACATACACATACACACACAACAGACAGACAGACACATATACACACACATACAGACAGACAGACACATATACACACACCACACACACACAGACACACACACACACACACCACACACACACACACACACACACACACACACACACACACATACAGACACACATACCCACACCACACACACACAGTCATAGAGTCGTCAGGAAGTGGAATAGCCTAGCAAGTGAAGTAGTGGAGGCAGGAACCATACATAGTTTTAAGAAGAGGTATGACAAAGCTCGGGAAGCAGAGAGGGAGACGACCTAGTAGCGATCAGTGAAGAGGCGGGGCAAGGAGCTGAGTCTCGACCCCTGCAACTACAATTAGGTGAGTACACACACACACACACACACACACACACACACACACACACACACACACACACACACCACACACACACAACCACACACACACACACACACACACACACACAAACAATAATTGCGGCATGCACCTCGTCACGTGTCTGAGAGCGTGAGGTTACGGCGGCGACCTTGGCATTGTCTTCAAGTCTAACTACAAGTAACGTCACGTCTCCTTACCTCTCCCATCCCCTCCCCTACCCTTCCCCACGTGTTACGTTACGGTAGTAACTTCACGTCTTTCCTCGCCTCCCCTCCCGAGCGTGACTTAGCGGTAGTGAGGTCACGTTGTTCTCCTCCGCCCAGAGTGTGACGCTGGTGGGTTAGCGAGACAAGATTTACCTCCTCTGAACCCGTCTTGTTAATATGCAAATGACTTTTATAGCTAATTAATAATACCAATGTTCTTCGGCTGGTCTTGCAAGGCCTGCCTCCAGGAGACCTGGTCTGAGACCAAGCCCAGGGAGGGGGTGACTCCTGCAAGCGACTACAGGGAACCTACTGATATAATCCAAATCCTCTACCTGCTTCCTTGACGAGTGGAAGTACGCTCGCTGCTTTCCATGAAGTTTTTGGAACTTCTTCTGGCTCTGACATTTTATTGAACGCTCCCGCAGGTGGCATTCTTTGGGCTGCTGCCCCTTCCTTCGGTATGCAAGATGATACCACGTACATTCCCATGGTTTTGAAGTGGCCAGTGTCAGGGTTAGTTCCTCTGATATCTGTCTTGGGTGATGAACGCTCGTTAGGTGTGTTGAGATTGTTCTGCTAATTAGCAACCTCTGTGTATTGTGTTGGTGGTTGTGCCTGTGTACTGTGTTGATGGGTGTATCTGTGTACTGTGTTGATGGGTGTATCTATGTAATGTTGTTGGTGAGTATGTCTGTGTAATGTGTTGGTGAGTGTGTCTGTGTAGTGTCTGACTAACTGGGAGAAACCAGATACAAACAGCGTGGTGCCGACAACACTAAAAAAAACATGAACAATCCAAAACTCAAAATTTGATCATAACGACATCCACACCAACACACCTACAGTCCCACACACCTGCATCCCCCCACATCTGCATCTTCCCATACTCATACCTGTGTATGTTGTAGAGTACTCTGAGGTCGTCTAGGTAGCGTGTAGGATGGAGGTGTGTCCTCTCTCTGTCTCTCTGGATGTCCAGCAAGGAGTGTACTGCGCGTAGCCCACCACCGCTCTCTGTAAGACAGGCAACACAGCGTACTAAGCTACGTCCAGGCTATGGTGATGGAAGAAGAGGATGGGGTGATGATGGTGAGGCCAAGGGGTGATGGTTTAGGGGTAAGGGTAGTGAGTTATCGTAAAGGAGTGATGGTGAAGGGAAGGGGTAGTGAGTTATCGTAAAGGAGTGATGGTGAGGGGAAGGGGGAGGGAGTTATCGTGAAGGAGTGATGGTGAAGGGAAGGGGTAGTGAGTTATCGTAAAGGAGTGATGGTGAGGGGAAGGGGGAGGGAGTTATCGTGAAACATGAAAGTCAGCCAGATGGGTTATCCTTACATTGGCATAGACAAGTATATTCCTGAGATTGGTAACCCCAGCCACAACCCTTCCTAGAGCTGTAGCTTAACACCCCTCAACTGTTCAAGAATCTGTAGCTCAAGGCCCTAAGGGGATGATACCTTCAGGTGTGACCCAGTCACCGCGTTTCACACTGACCTTCACCTCTACAAGAGAGGGGAAACATTGCCAGCTTTTGTTCCCACTGTGTAACTTAATTATACACACAACAGCACACTGCTGAGACAGACAGACAGACAGACAGACAGATAGACAGACAGACAGACAGACAGACAGACAGACAGACAGACAGACATATACACACACACACACACACACACACACACACACATACACTAACTCAAGGAAAAAGATCTGGGGGTGAGTATAACACCGAGCATATCTCCTGAGGCGCACATCAATCAGACAACTGCTGCAGCAAACAGGCGCCTGGCAAACCTAAGGATAGCGTTCCGATACCTCAGTAAGGATTCGTTCAAGACTCTGTATACCATTTACGTCAGGCCCATACTGGAGTATGCAGCACCAGTTTGGAATCCACACCTGGTCAAGCACGTCAAGAAATTAGAGAAAGTGCAAAGGTTTGCAACAAGACTAGTCCCAGAACTAAGGGGATTGTCCTACGAAGAAAGGTTGAGGGAAATCGGCCTGATGACACAGGAGGACAGGAGGGTCAGGGGAGACATGATAACGACATATAAAATACTGCGCGGAATAGTCAAGGTGGACAAAGACGGGATGTTCCAGAGATGGGACACAGACACAAGAGGTCACAATTGGAAGTTGAAGACTCAGATGAATCAAAGGGATGTTAGGAAGTATTTCTTCAGTCATAGAATAGTCAGGCCGTGGAATAGCCTAGAAAGTGACGTAGTGGAGGCGGGAACCATACATAGTTTTAAGGCGAGGCATGATAAAGCTCGTGGGGCAGGGAGAGAGAGGACCTAGTAGCAATCAGTGAAGAGGCGGGGCCAGAAGCTATAAATCGACCCCTGCAACTACAAATAGGTGAGTACAAATAGGTGAGTACACACACACACACACCACACACACACACACACACATACACACACACACACACACACACACACACACACACACACGCACACGCACACGCACATAAAACTCTACACTTTAACCCCAAAAATTCCGTCACGTAACTAGGTCTGTATTGAGTCCCTCTGACCTAGTAACACCTGGTGAGAAGACAATGAAGTGGTCTTTTCTAGTCTAATTATCCACCCTCAGAAACAGGTTAATTACAGTAGATGCCTGGCTTTTATTTTCTTTTTCTCATAGATCTTTCTGTCCACTGCTCTGAGAATGCCTCTCTCGATCGGCTCTAAACTGCCACTGCTGACGACCAGGGCTTCCAGGAAGTTTCAGATTATTGTTAGGCTGAGTAGCTGCCAGTTTTTCAATTTTTTAAAAGAATTTGGGATGCTGGCTGCCGTGCCCTGCGAGGGATCACCGCTGGTTCAAACAACATACCTTAGGTTCAAAAAAACATACCTTAGGTTCAAACAACATACCTTAGGTTCAAACAACATACTTAGGTTCAAACAACATACCTTAGGTTCAAACAACATACCTTAGGTTCAAACAACATACCTTAGGTTCAAACAACATACCTTAGGTTCAAACAACATACCTTAGGTTCAAACAACATACCTTAGGTTCAAAAACATACCTTAGGTTCAAACAACATACCTTAGGTTCAAAAACATACCTTAAGTTCAAACAACATACCTTAGGTTCAAACAACATACCTTAGGTTCAAACAACATACCTTAGGTTCAAACAACATACCTTAGGTTCAAACACACATACCTTAGGTTCAAACAACATACCTTAGGTTAAAAACAACATACCTTAGGTTCAAACAACATACTTAGGTTCAAACAACATACCTTAAGTTCAAACAACATACCTTAGGTTCAAACAACATACCTTAGGTTCAAACAACATACCTTAGGTTCAAACAACATACCTTAGGTTCAAACAACATACCTTAGGTTCAAACAACATGCCTTAAGTTCAAACAACATACCTTAGGTTCAAAACAACATACTTAGGTTCAAACAACATACCTTAGGTTCAAACAACATACATATGACTCAAACAGCATACATATGGCTCAAGGTGGAGTAAGGAGCGGTTATATGGAGTCCACAACTTGGAACACATGGATAAAATACCAGGTAGAGCTACAAAGTGACTACAGATGCCAGGCTGGCTGATAGGAAGACAGAAGACGTGCTTATCATACGAAGTAGTAAAAAATACATGACAGAAGGGATATCGCTGTCATCGTGCTGCAACAGTGATAACGAGAGTCAACACCTGCAAACCCAGAGAAAAAACTGGGGCAGAAGGGATGCCAGAGTTATTGTTTTTTCTTTGCAACAAAAAAAGTTATATTATATATATATATATATATATATATATATATATATATATATATATATATATATATATATATATATATATATATATTATATATATATATATATATATAAAGTGGTACAACCACTGGGAATTTACAAAAATATGTATTTATGACTTTTTCAAGATGTGACTCCACGAGAATAGGCTTCTTCTTGTGGTTACACATAGTTTAATTTTACACACACACACACACACACACACACACACACACACACACACACACACACACACACACACACACACACACACACACACACACACAAATAGGTGAGTACATAACAAGGGCCGTTGCGAGACACTACACACTTGTCGTGGCGAGTCGTTGTTGAACACTACACAAGTGTTGTCTTGTTCGTTGCTAGATATTACACAATTGTTGTCGTGATTGGTCGTTCGTAGATAGTACACAGTTGTCGTGGTTGGTGGCTCGTAGATGTTACACAGGTGTTCTCCTGGTGGGTCGTTGTTCAACACTACAAAGGAGTTATCGTGGAGAGCCGTTGTTGAACACGAAAGACTATTACTGACCTGGTTCACTTTTCCAGTCTTGCTGACTCACCTCTTCAAGGCACCGAGAGAGAGAGAGAGAGAGAGAGAGAGAGAGAGAGAGAGAGAGAGAGAGAGAGAGAGAGCCTACTCACCCACTCGTCTCACCTAACCCACCTTCCTCCCTTGGTGAATATTTGTTGTATGCGTGTAGAATATACTGGTTTCACAAACAATCCCCCCATCTGGGGCGACTCACCACGTACACAGTGTGTGTGTGTGTGTGTGTGTGTGTGGTTTTGTGTGTGTGTGTGTGTGTATCTGTGGGGAGGGGTAGGGAGGGGGAGGGATGGGTAGGGGAGGAGGAGGGAGGAGAACGCTGGGTTTAAATCCTACATTACAGTTGACCAAGGTCTCTGTACCATGCTAATCCCTGCTTCCTCTACCACCCCCTTGCTTCCCCTACAACCCCTGATTCCCCAACCTCCCTCACCACCACTACCACACTCCCACCACCTTTCAAGCCTTCCCCCGCCCCTGTCATCCTCTTTCAACCGCCACCAATACCCTTCTCTATCCCTTCCTCCTCTCCAGCACCATTCTCACACTCTCCTTTATCAGTCACCGGCACGTTTCGCCCAGACCAGAGAAATCATTCTCACCTGCATCCAAAACAATGTACCTTGGTTAAGTTAAATTATGTTAACTTAACCAAACTAATTTAATGAAAGTGGCCAAATCAGACTAACCTAACCTAACCTAACCTAACCTAACCTAACCTAACCTAACCTAACCTAACCTAGCTTAACCTAACCTAACCGGACCTAGCTTAACCTAACCTAACCGGACCTAACCTAACCTAACCTAGCCTAACCTAACCTAACCTAACCGGACCTAACCTAACCTAGCCTAACCTAACCTAACGTAACCTAGCCTAGCCTAACCTAACCTAACCTAGCCTAACCTAGCCTAACCTAACCTTACCTAACCTAGCCTAACCTAAAATAACCTAACCGGACCTAACCTAACCTAGCCTAACCTAACTTAACCGGACCTAACCTAACCTAACCTAATCTAATCTAACCTAACCTAACGCAAAACCTAGCCTAATTTAGCCTAACCTAACCTAACCTAGCCTAACCTAACCTAACCTAGCCTAATCTAACCTAACCTAGTATAACCTAACCTAACCTAACTTAGCCTAGCCAAGCCTAACCTAACCTAACCTAACCTAACCTAACCTAACCTAACCTAACCTAACCGGACCTAACCTAACCTAACCTAATCTAATCTAACCTAACCTAACGTAACCTAGCCTAACCTAGCCTAACTTAGCCTAACCTAACCTAACCTAGCCTAACCTAACCTAACCTAGCCTAACTTAGCCGTACCTAACCTAACCTAACCTAACCTAGCCGAACTTAGCCTAGCCTAACCTAGCCTAACCTAACCTAACCTAGCCTAACCTAATCTAACCTAACCTAGTATAACCTAACCTAACCTAACTTAGCCAAGCCAAGCCTAACCTAACCTAACATAACCTAATCCACTAACCAAATTAACCTAGCCTAACCTAGGATAACGATAGTTTATTTTCACTTCTATCTGTGGAAAACGCACGGCTTCCGGATTTTTTTACTGGGACAACGTTTCACTCTAGAGCCTTACCAGGTCACTTTTCTCTTGGTGTACTGTAGAGCTTTATCATGTTCCACTCCGTGTAGAGC